CTAATCCATTAGATTAGTATGTATATATTTTATGCATATATTATATATTATAAATTGGTAATATATCCATTATGTATATACATATACGGCTATATATCTAATTTAAGATAAACTAGTCCACTGGAGAATGTTTTATAACAACAATTATTTCAACGCTGATTAAATGCCATCCTCTAGCATCAATTGGAATTTTAGAAAAGTTTAGCTAACATAAAGTATATCATCTTAATTCTAAATACTTAATTTTCTAGGCACAGATTTTTTTTACAATAAGCCACTCTATGCTTTTGTCAGTATTAAGCTTACATCTTTGAGATAAATATCCTGTAAAAGATCATTTTTCAAAATTGGATCAGGACTGTTTATAAGATGATTACCTGTGGAGGACAAAGAAAACAAGCTAAAGGAAAGAATATAGTTTTCTATCCTGTCATTTAAAACTAGGCAATCAGCTCTTTTCAGTTAATGAGCAGTCCAAACTTGGTAAGCCTTCTCTGCTAAACTTGGTTGTTGAGTTTTGCTACCTCTTTCACTGTCAGCTTGAATCATCTTTGGAGAAGGAAATAAGACAATAGAAAATGTTCTTGGCCTAGCACGCAATAAAAGGATGGAGTGAGAAAAGACAATGTTGGTTTCTCTCTATGACCTTTTTGTTGTTGTTTTGGAGCAAGAAACAATGCTAACGAGACCCTCTTCTGATGTTTGGAGAATGTCCTGAGATGATGCCCAGTCAGAGGGGCTCAGTGGTTGAGTGTCGACCCATGAACCAGCAGGTCATGGTTCGATTCCCGGTTAGGGTACATGCTCAGGTTGCAGGCTCGATTCTCAGTAGAGGGTGAGCAGGAGGCAGCTAATCAATGATTCTCTCTCAATAAAAACAGTTTTTAGAAATGTTCTGAAATGATTTGTTCCTCTGGCTCCCAACCACTGTTGTTAAATAACTCATAGATTGCAATCCCCCACCAAGGAAGCTACAAGGACTTCTCTGCTCACACAGAGCAACAGAATACAAGCATCTTGTTTTATTGTGCTTCACTTTATTGCGCTTCGCAGAAACTGCATTTTTTACAAATTGAAGGTTTGTGTAAACTTACTTCAAACAAGTCTATTGGTGCAATAGCATTTACTCACCTCATGTCTCTGTGCCACATTTTGGTAATTCTCACAATATTTCAAACTTTGCACTATTATTATATTTGTTGTGCTGATCTGTGGTCAGCAATCTTTGATATTACTATTGTCATTGTTCGCAGAAACTGCATTTTTTACACATTGAAGGTTTGTGTAAACCTACTTCAAACAAGTCTATTGGTGCAATAGCATTTACTCACCTCATGTCTCTGTGCCACATTTTGGTAATTCTCACAATATTTCAAACTTTGCACTATTATTATATTTGTTGTGCTGATCTGTGGTCAGCAATCTTTGATATTACTATTGTCATTGTTCTGGGAGGTCATGAACTGTGCCCATATAAGACAGCAAACATTAATAAATATTGTGTGTGTTCTGACTGCTCCACAGACCAACCATTCCGCCATCTCTCTTCCTCTCCTCAGGCCTCTCTATTTCCCAAGACACAACAATATTGAAATTATGCCAAATAATAACCCTATAATGGCTTCTAAATAGTCAAGTAGAAGTGAAAGTCACATATTTCCCACCTTAACTCAAAAGCTAAAAATGACTAAGCTTAGTGAGGAAGGCATGTCTGGGAATGGAAGTGTGCTTGGTGTGAGGGAGGTGGATGAACTCATTGTTGACAAAAACATAGAGCGAAAATCAAATTAAAGGCAGGTTGAAAAAGAGGACAAATTAACATGAGAATAGATCTATAAGAAAAATAGTACATAACTGATCCAACTTTAGTTTTGGTAATTAAACAAAAATATCTCAGTCTAGATTGAAGAGGGACAAGGAAGAAGAAAGAAACATGCTGGAAGAGTGGTGAATTAATAGGTAGGAAGGGAAGTATGCTACCCTTTTTCTTCCCCTTCATCTAGGTCTTCCCTAGTTTAAATTCCCTCAGCTATAGACAAAAAGACTAACAATAATCCCAGAAAACTACAAGGCTAACATTTTGAAATTCAGGTGTCCCTTTACTGACAAATTTGTCAACAAATTTTTTTGTAAAGCTGGGTTAATAGTTTTACTCAAAGACATTTACTTATTGAAATATATTTTTATTACTATGCCAGAGACCTAGGATTATTCCCATCCTATACAAGGAAAGAGATCCAAAATGTCCTATAAAACATACCACAAAAATTTTAATGGTAGATTTTTCAAATCTTTCTGGGAAGATCTGTTAACTTTTTAAGCAAAATTTCTACTTTGTATCTACTTTTGAATCATTAAAACACCATCAGCTTCCTTTCACTGGCAGTCCTCATTCTCCGTGGGAGTTTTAATTTTAAAAAATGAAATAATCCCAGTAACTATTTGAGCATCTTAACTGAGAACCTTAAGAAAACTTTCTGATATTCTACAGTTTTGAAAAAGGCAGCCAGTAACCACTGTCTTCTCCTCCTCCCATCTCTCCTCTATAAGTATTTTTGGTCATATATTTTCTATTTCATTTTGAAAGTCTTTCATGAATGCAATGATCTCCTAAATGTGAACCCCACTCTCCAAGTGATACCCAAACCATCCAGTAGGATGCAAACTTAAATATAAACATATATTGTGGCCTAGAAAATAAATTATACCTTATTCTATTTAATGTACACATTAACACTGGTCCCTCCCATGCACACTTTATCCTGCTGGCAGGGGTCACATATTACCCAGAGTTAAAGATGTGACTTAAAATAAAGCAGGAATTTCTCAGACGGGAGGCTTAACAGAGGCACTCTGAAACATTTAAAACCTTTAAAAACATTATAGTCCATTTTGCCTGCTTTTAATAGAAACTATTTACTATACCATGTATTGCTGCCTCAACAAATCACCACAAACCTAGATGCTGAAACAACGCAAATTGATAATCTTATATTCTGTTCTGTAGATAGAAGTCCTCCCTTGGTCTCACTAGGCTAGCATCAAGGTGCCAGCAGTTGAGTGCCATTTTGAACATGTGAGAGAAGAATTTGTTTCCTTGCTCATTCGGGTTCATTGGCAGATTACAATGCCTGTGGCTGTATGACTGAGGCCTCCATTTTCTTGCTGATTGTCAGTGGAGGCCCATTCCAGCTTCTAAAGGCCACCCTGTTTCTTGGCTCATGACCCTTTTCCCCCATCTCCAAAGCCAGCAACAATAAGGCAAGTCTCTCTCAGATTTAGAATCTCTCTCTCCTTCCCATTGCATCTCTCTGACCCACTCTTCTGCCTTACTTTCCCACTTTCAAGGGCTCACATGATTATATTGGGGTCAGCCGCATATTCTAGGATAACCTCCCCATTTTTGAGACCCTTAACCTTAATCACATCTGCTAAGGTTACATACTGTTTTGCCACATAAGATAACATATTCAAGGATTCTGGAGATTAGGGTCAAGGCACCCTAATCTTTGGGCTAAAAGGATTAGTAAGTGCACCAACCTTACAGTAACTAAGCATTCAGAGTAAACTTAAAACCAGTTGTCAAAATAAAGTGAACCTTTAAAACTTATGTTCACACAAATATCTGTACATAAAGTAGTTGAATGGATAAGTAAACTGTGGAACTCCCAGACAATGGAATATTAGTCAGTTCTAAAAAGAAATAAGCTATCAAGCCATGGAAAGGAATGTTAAGTGTATATTACTAAGTAATATATGAAGCCAATATGAAAAGGTTACATACTGTTTGATTCCATCTAAAATCATCCTGGAAAAGGCAAAACTAGGAAACAGTAAAAAGATCAATGGTTCCAGAGGCTGGGAGTAGTGGAGGCACACAGAGGATTTTTGGGACAGTAGAAATACTTTGTATACCATTATGATCTGTCAAGGTAGATTTATCAATTGTAATAAGTGTACCACTCTGCTGGGGATGTTGATAATGCAGGAATCCATGCAGGGGGAAATCTCTGCGCCTTCCTCTCCATTTGCTGTGAACCTAAAACTGCTCAAAAAGTCTTTATCTCATCTGGTAAAACTGTGCATGATTTTTTAAAATTTATTTTAATTGTTGAAAGTATTACAATTGTTGAAAGTATTACTTTGTATGTTTTTCCCCATTGGCCCTCTCCACTCCTCACCCGCCCCTCCCAGGCCTTCACCACACTATATTGTCTGTGTCCATGGGCTATGCATATTTGCATACAAGTTCCCCCATTAATCACTCCCCACCTCCCCATTCCCCTAAGTTTTTAAATGAACATTACTAATATAGCAGAAAGTTATATAACAAATAAAAATACTGACATAAATGTCTTTTATAAACATAAATATATGTATTTAATATACATGCCCCAAATTTTTACTTATAAGTGCAAGCTATCAGATTGAAAATTATTATACTAATAAGTTCATACTAAATATTTCATACTAAACATTTAATTGCTATACTATTTAAAACTATCTAAATAAAATAGTTATGAATCTGAAACAGGTAAATTAGATCTTGATTGTCATCATTTCAATTGACCACTGGAAAATGTCTTAAAAAATGGTTACCAAGGATCACAGAATCTTTCCATTTTGGAAACATTCAGCAAACTTTTAAAAAATACCACTTTTTAAATAGGTAACAACTTTAAACATTGAACTTTAAAACTCACAGAGACATTTGAGATAGCATTTATACTTCTTTGGAATGTAGGTAATTTTATTTGCTAATTACCTTAGCACATATCCCCTCATTTCTTGATGTGAAAACATTAAAATGAAATTTATGTGCACTAATAATAGCTACTAAAACCTGTGGTTCTCTGGTTTTTTTTTTTTTTACTGGCTATAGTGTAATAAATATTTTTGAAACCCCAAAAA